GAGAGAGAGACAGAGAGAGAGACAGAGACAGAGAGAGAGACAGAGAGAGAGAGAGACAGAGAGAGAGAGAGAGAGAGAGAGAGGAGAGAGAGAAAGACAGAGAGAAGGGGAGGAGGAGGAGGGGAAGGAAAAGAGAGAGAGAGAGAGAGAAAGAGAAAAGGGGAGTGGGATGAAGAGGGAGATGGAGGCGGAGAGACTGTGTCAACATAAAGCAGGAGATGTTCCTGAAGCAAGACCACTTCCTGAATGAATCAAGAGATCTACTCACCTCATAGTGCAGCCGCCGGACTTTGCTCATGGCTGGCAGGCTAGACTGCTTTCCATTGATGTTCCGAAACACCTGGAAGACCATGAAGCACAGAAACAGGAAGTAGAGGCAGAGGCAGATCCCAGCCACAATGATGAAGGCCATCTGATGGTGTCCAGTAAAGGAAATTGCAGGCTAGCCAGGATACAAACACCTTTTTCCAGTTCTATTGGCATTACTCTCTGTCTCCACATATTAGGCAATATTTAGGGGGATAAAATAGAAAAACCTACTATTTCTGACACAGCAATACCATAGAGGAAAATGTTCCAAACCACTTTCTAAGCCAAGTTGGCAGAGGGACTCTTGCTTCTCAAAAATGTAGGCTCTAGGACCCACCCTAGCTACTGAACCAGAATCTGCTTTTTAACAAGGTTCCCAAGGGGTTAATATGCACAATAAATTTGAAAAGCTCTAAAAGAGTGGATATTATTTAACTACTGGTTGGGTGGAAAACTGCGTTAAAATCATACACACACACACACACACACACAAATCATACACAAAATTAATAAAGGAGCCCAGGTATCACAACAAATATAAGGAATCAGAGTTTTTGAGGGTTAGGAAATCATGCATACCCATGGTTGGGAGCCATTGGGCCAGGCCCTGGATTTCTAGAAGAATGGCCCCGAGATACCGGAAGCTAGCCTGGAGCTCATGGAATGGGCAGCTGAAGTTTGAGCATGGGTGAAATGCTACTTGCATTCTCCTCTTGCACCAAGAAAAATCTTGTCAAATGGAACATGGAGGCACATGGCTAAGGTAGGAGCTGGGGTGGAGAAGGATCCTCTTAACACTGATCAAGACAGTTGTGAAACCTTTCATGAAAGCACAATGGGAGTGGTTCCAAGGCTTGGGGTGAGAGCTCCGTGGAAGGAAAGTGATTTGACGGATTCTTCTTCTATGACTCTATGCCAAGTGGTACAATTTAAAATACATATGTTTCATGAAATAGTATATTTAATGTATTTTATCTTCCTTCCTTAAAATCAACAGTACTCTAGAATGAAGGGAATATGGTTACTTACTGCAGGATTTGGATTTTATTTTGCTTCCCTGCCCCTTGCTTCATATCTGTACAACAAAAGAATGGAAGCAGACTGATCATTTAAATATTCCTGGTGTTGTACAACTAATATTTGGGAGGGTGAGGGCTGGGGAAAGTGGAAGCCCAACTTCTTCATCTTTAAAGTAAAGATAACTACTGATTTAGTTGGGTTCACAAAAATCTTGTCAATATAAACATGGCCAGAGACAAAGGTTATTTACCAGCACAAGACAGGGTATTATCCATGCAGAAAAAAATATATGACTTAAGCCTTTCTCTCCTCTCCAGAGGAGAGTCTTTGCCTCCCAAAGCATTTAACATATTATTCAGGAGGATAAAATATTTAAATCCAGCATCCAAAAAGGGATAAGCTAAGATTGTCACTTCTACTTCATGAAGATGAGTCAGATGGAGGTTTTGCCGACCAACCAGCAGCTTCAGCAATGCCTCTGGAACTAATCACCTTAGCTTTATCTCCACTTGGTCTTGGAAATGAATAGCAGCAGCATGGTATCCAGCATACCAAGGCCAGTCACTGTCAGAAGTCTCATGCACAGACAGCTTCAGAAACAGCTATCCTACAGGAACCCAGAGATGAACCTCTGTGGCTCCAGGGGAAAGCTAGTCATGCTCAGTCTGCAGTAAACAAGGGTATAATAGATAATTTAGACAGGCTGTGGGAAGACCAGCCACTCTGCTCCCTCTGCTATAGGGACATGCTGCGACCTCCTTGTTTGTGCCTGCTCTCTACTCAGCTTGTAAGCAAGCACTAATTCTTGTCATTATTTACCTGAATGGTGCAGTTACCAGAGGTCTGAGGATCAAAGGTCTGGCTGGGCACACATGCAGGACATCAGTACGAGTTAGAAAATGATCTTGGGGACTGGGCAGCTACGGGAAAAAAATAGAACCCAGAACCCATCAAGAAGGATACAGCCAGTTCTGTTCCAACATCTGTAGTCCAGATACTGTAGAAGGGATTCGTGAGTTGTACCCCTCTACAAAAGAAATGAGATGGAAAGGGAAGACACCGTTAATACAGAGGTCAAGGAAAATTTTCCTTTTTATTTCTTCTTAGTTTTTTGGTCCAAGGGGCAGAGGTTACACTTAGACTAGAAAAATTATAGAGAACCTAAAGAGAAACAGAATTTGAAGAATGTGATTAGCTCAAATGTTCAGAATCTATGATTTAATTCTAATCTCTCTTTTGAAGATATAACCATGTTCAGTGTTTTTACTAAAAAAAAAAAACACAATCTGCTTTTTCCTTTTGGAATACTCCTAAAAAGTTAAGAGCAGACATGGTAATGGGCATTTCAACCAGAGTCCAGAAGGCACCTGCTCACCTCTCACACATGTCGAATATGAAGAGGCAGAAAGAGCCCACGGCAATTGGTCCAACTTGCTTCCAGTACCCAGCAATGTGATTCCGTTCATGCTGATCCTGAGGAAAAACAAATTGAGAATTGGAGGTAAAGAAAGAGAGAGCAAAGCAATTCAACAGGTGAATCAGTCTTAGCAGTCAACATTTGCTGACTGCCTACTGTCTACCAATACTAAGCTAGACTTGAGGTAGAGAGAATGAATAAGCCCAAAATCTTGGTTCCTAAGGAGCTCACATTTGTTGGGTCATCACTAAGGACTCTCAGAGTAACAAGACCAGGGTGCTATGGGGTAAAAGAAAGTCCTCAGGCTGTGGGAATTTTGTGGTCCACAAAGTAGTACATTCAGAATGAAATTCCTATATGATTTGTCATACAGGTGTGCAGGTCCCCAAGGGACACTGAAGATGCCAAGACATAGAAATAAGTGAAGTGTAAGAAATCTCTTATGGTTAGGGAACTAGATACATATTCTCCTTATCTTCATTAAAAATGAGAAAGAGCCCTTTTGATACATAAACACAGTTAAGAAACAGAAATGTAAAGGAACATGAACTAAGAAAACAGGGTAAGGCAAAGGATATATCATTACATCTAGGCTGGCACCGAGATGGGATAGTCCACTCTAGCTCCCATGGACAACCCACCCTGATTGGCTGTCTACCTTGGTACACAAACACCATCGTTGAAGAGGTCCCTCATCCTGGAGAACGCCTAAAGATTACCCCAAAAGAAGGCAAAGATTTCTCTCTTCGCACTGCTCTCCTAGAAGAATTAGTTGCAAGGCTGTAGAGCAATGATCAAACCACCATGGAATTTAAAAACAGTCCAGTCTACAATGAAGCCCATGTGCCTGACATAAGGCCTCAGCTCCAGCTGGCATATCATCTTAGCCACAGTATGATGACAGCACCATAACTATATTTATCCCTGGTACCTTTAATCCCTCTTGAAATATGATTTGGTGTCTATGCAAATTGAGGAGACCAGGCAGGTCAGTATTTCAGGGTAATAAGGGTTACTAGGCCACCTGGACAGATTGTCAGCTGGAAGGAGTCAGGCCTTCATTCTCTGGTGGTTTCCATGGTCCTGGGTTGACAAGCAGAGCTGAAGCCAAAGGGCAGGAAATAATGATAATCATTTACATGTGTGTTTACTTTCTGTGAAGTAAGTTACTCCCATTATCTCACTGAAATCTCACAAAAACAGTACGGAAGTCTATAAATTCTATTTTGCATACGAGGAATCTGAGATTCAGAGTGATTAAGTCACTTTCCTACTTAATAAATAATGAAGCAGGAATTTGAACAGCTCACTTAACTATAGTTGATTCTGCCTCACCCAATGTCCCTTCCCCAGAAAGCTCATACCATCATGTGCTCGCCACAGAAGATGATCCAGAAGGAGAGAAGCATTGCGTAGAAGATGCCCTGACGGATATCACCAAACAACAGCATCCAGGTCCAATCAAACCCAATGGAAAACCACTCCACTGGGATATTGATAAAGGTCATAGAAATCCCAAGGGCAAAGATGACTCTGATGGTGCGAAAACAAGGAAAGGCACTTTATTCATCTGGGAAGCAGATTTTCAAAACAAATTTGGGGATGTGAGATGTTACTTAGTTGACTAAAACCATATGGTCAATTTATAGCTTTCAAAGTGAATTTCTGCACCAAAATGCAAAATGTTTTATTTCAATGACACCACTGAAAAATGAAGAAGTGTTTTACTGATCTTTCTGTGTGATTACTATAACCACCTTAACACACACTTTTATATGCATATTTACATAAACATAACACTTATACAGAGCTATTTCAATATGAAACAATGACTACAAACAATATGAAATACCAATTCTCTGGGCCACTTATTTAAATCTTGTTTTTCCCCTACCACACTATTACCAACATCACTCATTTTATCATAGATTCATTCCTACATTAAATATTAATTATGCAAAGATCATGTGTCAGGTTACTTTTTTTTTCCACTCTTTCATACAATTTGTCAGGCTACCTTTAAGGGCTATTGACTCCTAAATGATAGGACCAGTCTTTTCACTCATGGGATATAATTAGATGAAGATATATATTAGATAAGAGTCAAATGAAGTAATAAACAATATGATAGAATTGTACACAAGCTGTTACCAAGAATTCTAACTTTAACGGAGACAGAAATAGAGTTGAATTGTAAATCAAGGTTATGGAAGAGAAAGGGCCTTTTTAGTAGAGTGAAAGCCAGGAGGCCCCTGGAGTAGCCTGGAGCATTTGGGAATCTGCCTATAGCATGTAAAAAAGAAATGATAGGACGTGATACCAGAGACATAAAAAAAGATGGGCTCATGAAGAAAGTTGATACTTCATTAGAGAATCTGAAATTTATCTTGAAAGGACTAAGGATCCAATAAAAAGGTTAAACAATATATGACATGCATCCTTCATTCATCCAACAAATTCTTATTATTTTTTAAAGATTTATTTATTTATGCACACAGAACTGGGGCACAGGCCAGAGGCACAGGGGTGGCGAGAGGCTCCACCAGAGACAGAGCCGGGAGCAGAACAGGCAGATCAATGAAGCACACCCTTGAGGGGAACAGCAGGTGGGCCAGGAGAGGTCTGCCACACCATGTGGTCTCCTCTGGGGCAGGCGGAATCGAACTCATGCGGAAGTGGCTTTAGCCTCCTAGTGCTGTGCTTTAACCCGCTGCGCCACCAGGGAGGGCCCGAACAAATTCTTATTTACTGAGTGCCTGCTACGTGTCAGTCACTATTCTAGATGCTAGGCATACAACAGTGAACAAAATTCTGTTCTATTGATGCTTGCATTCATAGATTTAGGAAGAGCGGTATGGGAGGAAACACAAAAATAGACAAAATATTATGAGGAAACAAAGCAAGAAAGAGAATGGAGATTTATGGGTGCTGTCACCCACAACAAAAGTCTCTAAGTTGGAGGCATTAGAACAAGACCTAAAAGAAACCAGGACTGAACCACAGAGATATCTGGGAAAGATCATTTCAGATAGCACGGAAATAAATGCATAGGCCCTGAGGTAAGAGTATTCAAGGTATGTTTGAACACCACTAAGGGGTTGGTAGATGGCATCAATGGGAATGGTGGAGAGGATAGAGATGAATTCAGAAGTGCTAAGATTCAGGTCATCACCAAAGACTTTATAGGTCAGGACAAAGCAGATGAAAAGTCAATGGGAAGATTTGAACAGAAGTAATATAATTTATACTTATGAGAAACTATAGGAAGGAAAATGATGGAAGCAGTTAAAAGGTTATTTTTTGTCATCTAGATGAGAAATGAGGATTATATTAGAGGGTTAGCAGTAGGAATGGTAAGAATTCCTGCTGTATATGGAGTAAAAGATGACTACTTTATGCCTAGCCTCAGAAACTGAAAGAATGAGGTTAATCTTTTCTCAGAGGGGGTTACTTGGAAGAGGAGCAAGTTTGAAGTGGGAGGAAATCAAGTTGTTTTTCATATATATTGCACTTTTGTGCAAGTGAAGAAGTTAAGTACATAGCTGGAACACATGGATATAAAGTTGGGAGAGGATGAGGTTAAGAATATAAATTAAGAATTATCAGAATGAGATGATTTTTAAGTCCAATGAGTATGTGAGATCACAAGGGGAATAGCAATAGCCAATAAAGAGAAGAGGTACAATGTTTGAGCCTTGAGTCAAAATTTTAAGACATTACATATACCAGAGACATTTTGTGGGGGTGAAATGGGGAATGGGATCAAACGGGGGTGGGGGGAGAGAGAAGTGCACGGGATTATGGTGATGGCACATGGGTGACTCGGTGATGGGAAACCCGTGGGGATTACAATGGAGATGAAAAAATAAATGTACAAAATGATGTAAAAATAAACTATTATATAAAAAAATTTTTTAAAGACATTATAGAGATGGCTGGAAAGATCAGCAGAGGAAAAAGCACTATAACAGAGAATGTTCTGTATGTTCTGTGAGGGAAAAGTGATTGATTAGATTTAATGATGGTGATGAATCGAGAAAAGTAAGCAGTAAGAAATGACCATTGGATTGTAATGTAGAAGTCACTGGTGAACCTGCCAAGAACAGCTTTAATGATGGGTGACATGGGATCAAGAAAGAATATCAGAAGAAGATACAGCAACAAGATTTTGAGTATGTTAGTACACTCATGCTATTAATCAAGCAGAAAGGGAACAGTCAATGATGTGGGAGAGGAAGGGGATATATTTGTAGACCACTGTTCTCCTGGAAGTGAGGGGGTTGGGTTTAGTTATAATAAGGCAGTTCTTCCACTGTAGCAAAGAGAGGTGTGAGATTATAGAAGTGAATAACTAGACAGGCAAAAGATTTAGAAATGTGAGAGGAGGGTAGAAACCCCAGGATTTAATAATGATTTGCATGTGGAAGCTGAAGGAGAAAAAAAAAAGTGAGTACAGAATGACTGCTGTTGAAATAATTGGTGGTTTTACACAATGACTACCTGAACTAAACCCCAGAAAACAAATCAAGTTATGCCAGTGTCCCTTTAGAGTGCTCAGAAATCAGATCTTACTTTTCCAGAAGCACGGGGGGTCGAGACATCATGGTGATCCTCCTCCAATACCACACCATGATGATGAAGATGCTCGGTGTGAGGAAGGTCTTCATAGCAAACCACACTTTAGTGAAACCTCCATTTTGGTGGATTCCCTAGGCAGAGATCAATCATAATTTTGAAAGTGAACAGATCTTAGCACTATTTTCTACCATCAAATGCATTTTGTGGAGACATGAGAAGAGAGCTTGTCTGCTGAACTTCAAGATCAAGAGCTTTCACATTCATAGCATGTACTATCATATTCCCCATGGCGCCTCCTCAGGCATTGCCGAAATATAAATCAAAAGGAATAAAAATGGACCTACTCTATGCCAAAGGAATGATTAAGAACACAATCAAAGACTTTTCTGGAAGTTTTTCACTGAAAAGGTGGTATCTTAGACACCCAAAATGTTCAGATTGATAAAATATGTTAAGGTAAATCTATACAGTAGAATGTTGAGCAGGGTTGCAGGATATGTATAATCCTTACAACATGCCAGTAAGTGAAAAAAAATGCAAGAAACAAAAGAGTCAGTTGAGTGGGATCCCCATACTTGAAAGTGAAGGATCGTGTATACATAAATGTATAGAAAAAAATCTGGAATCAATTTCTCTAGAAAGTGGGACATGACAGCTAATTTTTATGGTCTTCTGTATGTTTTCTTATGCTTTCTAGCTTTCTAAAATAAATATGTACAGTTGACACTTGAACAATATGGGGCGCTTAGGAATGCTGACCTCTATGAAGTCCAAAATCCATGGACAACCTTTGAATTCCCTGAAATTTAACTGCCAACAGTTTGCTTTAGAAGCCTTATTAATAATAAAACAGTCAAATAACACATATTTTGTATTTATAGTTTATATATTGTATTTAAAATAAAGGTAGAAAAATGTTATTAAGGAAAGTATACATTTACAGTATTGTATTGTTACTGATAAGTTTACATTGTCCATTTATAAGAAAATCTACACATAAGTAGATGCTTGCTGCTCAATTCCATGTTATTTAAAGGTCAACGGTATTTCTTGTGTGATTTTTTTTAAATTAAAAATAATTGTCTCTTCATGGAATCAACCCAAATGCCTAAAAGCAGATGACTGGATTAAAAAGATGTGGGGTGTATATATATATATATATATATATATATATATATATACAATGGAATATTACTCAGCAATAAAAAAGATAAACACATGCCTTTTGCAGCAACATGGATGGGGCTGGAAGGGATCATGCTTAGTAAAATAAGCCAGAAAGAAAAAGAAAAATACTGGATGGTTTCACTCATAGAAGGAGTATAAAGGACCGGGGGGGGGTGGGAAATAATAATGAACAACTATATACCAGAGACATTTTACAGGGGTGGAGTGGGGAACAGATCAAAAAGAGGGGCTCGGGGAAAGTGCATCTGACTATGGTGATGGCACACGGATGATTTGGTGATGGGAAGTCCATGGGGATTACAACTGAGATGGAAAAAGATACAAAATGATGTAAAAATAAACTATTATATTATTTTTTATAAAAGGGGAAAAAATGACCTCTTTTCTCTATGTGCTACATTTTCCCCCTGGTTAAGCAGATTAAAATGGACAAAAACTAAAATACCCCTGCTCTCTTTACCATATCCGCTTGCAAGATATGGTAAAGAGAAACATGTAAAAAGAAGAGTAATTTTTGTTCTGGTATTATTCGTTATGAAATAACGACCCTTATAACAAAATTTGAAATGGGCATATTAATTTCATTATTTTCACTACTATAATCTCTTACACAAATTTATGACCACAGCCATCATATTTATTATTCCTTTTTCTTAGATGACACAAGTAGGATAGGAGGGTGTCAACAGTAGAATGGAGTTCTCTTCCAATATACATACTCTAGAACCAATGTTATTAGCTACTGTTCTGGTATCCAGGCTGTCTGAGTCAAACAGAAGCACTTACCACCAACCGAATATCCCTGATTTCCCCAATCCCGACATTGATTTTCTTCTTCTCGTTCACAGGCAATCGGATGTTTAGAAGATAATATTTATGAGCCACAGACCCAATTTCCATGAATGGAAGGACATCACATTCATAGTGACGGCCTTCATGTTCTACAGTCTGGAAAAGAACAGGAGTTTGAGGGTGGTTCACTATTTATAATAAACTGTCTGCATTCTCTTACCTTTGCCTAACATCACCATTAAAAAAAAAAGATTAATTTATTATTTATGCATATAGAAGTGGGGTACAAGCCAGAGGTGCAAAGGCAGAAAGGCAGTGAGAGGATTCACCAGAGACAGAATGGGAAGCAGAACAGGCAGATCAATGAAGTACACTGCCGAGGGGAGCAGCGGGCAGGTCAGGAGAGGTCTGCCATGCCATGTGGATCACCTCCAGAGTGGGGATTGAACACATACTGAAGTGGCCATGGCCAGCTTGCAGTGCTGCATGCTAACTTGCTGCACCACCAGGGAAGGAAGGCCCCACACATCACCATTTTTAAAAAGCCCTGCTTAGGGCCTTCCCTAGTGGTTCAGAGGGTTAAAGCACTAAGGAGCTAAAGTCACTTCAGCATGAGTTTGATCCCTGCCCCAGAGGTGACCCACATGGCGCGGCAGACCTCTCCTGACCTGCCTTCTGCTCCCCTCAGCAGGGTATTTCATCAGTCGGCCTATATGCTCTCCACTCTTTCTCTGGTGAATTGTCTCACCGCCCCTGCACCTCTGGCCTGTACCCCAGTTTTGTGTGTATATATAAAAAAAGCCCTGTTTAAAGGTATATTGTAGAGGTACACATTAAAAGGGTGCACTGGCGGCATGGTGTTTACCTGCTGCTCTCTACCCCTTCCATCCCCCCAAACAAAAAACAATTTAACCATATTGAGGTAGAACCAGAAATCTGTTCTCTTAACACCTTCTCACATTTCAATTTAGTTTAGAGCCTCACATCAGACTGACCTGATCTACTAGGGCTACAGCAGTTTGTTATCGGCAACACATCTTTGGAGACCTCTAAGACCGTGAAAGAGAAAGCTTGCTAAATGTTCAGGAGGAAGCCTCTGCTGATGTTCATCACTCTTGGATGATGGCTAATTAGTGTCAAGGTTTTGGTCTAGAAAAAGCTGCAAGAAGTTGGAAACAGCCTTCTTTTTTCTAATTGACAGAAAATGAAACAAGTCATGGAACCGTTAGAATCTGAGGCAGACAGACAAGAATGAAAGGGAATAATAATAATGAGATTAGTCTACTCAGGATGACCACTTGGAATTTTCTATCTCTAAAACTTCTTACACCCAAAAGAGGTAAGATGGAAGAAGGAAGCAGAGATTCTAATTAAGCAAAAAATCAGTATAGTTTCTAGAAAGTCTCTTGGACTTCTTGCCAAAGTATTGAAGAACCTCCCACACAGCTATGGAGACTGGAGCATAAGAGCACAGCTTGCTTCTGAAAACCAAATTGTGCTCCATCTAACAGGACTCCTGACTAAGAATCCTTGTCAAGGGGTTGTGGTAGGAGGCTAAATATGGGCATGGGGAAACTTGAGTCTTAATAGCCAGGGACATTTTTTTGATAAAGCAGATGAGTGTCTACAATCAATGTTGGGTTATATGCCAGATATAATGTTAGCTTGGCAACTGATCAAGCAATAGGGAGGCCGAATGTGTTATTACTTGGCTGAATTCTCAGGACTTTTCTGTAAGTCTTCAGAGTAAAAAAAGTCCAATGAAGAAATCAAAAAGGAGGATAACAAGTTGTCGATAGTCTAATCAGTGTAGGAAGGGTTTTTGCACTTTCTGTAATCTTGGGGGATTCTTTACTGAACAGCCAGAGCTTAGCATGCATAAACAGAACTTTGTACAGAGATGGAAGGTGCATGAGACAAAAGTAAAGGTACAACAGGCAAATATCTGGCTTATTTGCATCCTTTCTTCCCTTCCCCACTCATGGATGGCAGACACCACAAATCAATCATGGTAACTTTTTCATCTTTTAATGTCTGAAGGACTCTTTGCAGAACGACCAATTAGACTTCTGAGATTTAAAAATTTCTTTTGTAGTAAACATAGGAGTGCATATTTCCTTCAAATTTGTGTTTTTTTTGGGGGGGGTACTCTTTGGGTAAATTCTAGTCTAGGGGTGGAATTGCTGGATCATATGCTAGATCTATTTTAATATTTTGAGACACTTCGATATTCTTTCCCAGTCTGGACCAGTTTACATTCCTAACAGTACACAAGGATTACTTCACTAAAGTGAAGATTTGGAAAACCTCAGTGTCTAAGGACAAAGGGGTGGATTAGGTAAATGTGGTGTGGATGTGTAATACTACTTATGAATAAAAAACATTAACTCTTGCCATTTGAAACTTAAGCAAAATAAACCAGGAGAAAGACAATTTCTAGTGGTTTCACTTATATGTGTAATATAGAGAAACAAAACAAAGGGTCAGGCAAAACAAAGCAATAATAAACCTTTGGCTTCTGACTACAAAACTGAACAACTAGAAGAGTAGGAAGGCAGGGGTTCCCATTGGAACATGTTGGAGGGTTTGGGGGACTTTGGATTGAGTAAGGTATGGAAATATACATTTGTAGGGGGTTGAACCTATAGTCCCCCAAACAAATACAATGATGTAAACCTACTTTAACTCAATTAAAAAATTATTCTATAAAAGCATTCTACTTTTACAAAACTCAGCTACGATTACTCCTGCAAGGATTCTTCCTCTTCCTCTGCTTCTTTCTCTGTTTTACTTATAAATTATGGCTAGTATTAGGATTCTAAATAAACCACTGAAAAGATATCACAGGATCTAATTCAGTCTCAGATTCAGTTGCAATGAGAAGGCAGATAGTCCACTGGATTATACCTGGAAGAGGGTTTTCTGGTGTGTTTCCAGCAAGGGTCTTATTTTACTGATAGAAATGGAGATTTTGATTGGGAAGTTAACAAAACATATTTAGTATGATGCTACTAACTTAATTATGCAACCACTCAAGTGTCCAAAAGTTGTGGCAGAATCGCATTGACAATATCGGTCTTCCAGGTTCGACCTTGGATTGCTGGGCAAATACATCAATTCTGGTGCTGACCTAGCCCCTTGCTGGATACCCTGAGATCACCCATCTCATTTGGCTTTGTTACTCCTAAGTAAAGCAAGAAAGTTCAGTAAAATGACCTCTGAGCTTTCCTCTAATTCCCTGTTTTGGGACTCTGGATGTCTTCCACCTCTCTGTCCTTATCAGCCACTGAGAAAACTGACTTCATTTCAACAAGTCAATGAGAAACATTTCATTCTGAAATTCTAGCCTGGTTTACTTGTCTTAGAGATAAATTCACTGTATCCTGTAGAACACTGCCTTATATACTGAAATTTTGCTTTCTGCCAGTATTTAGGGCATGTAAGAAGATTCTTCCCTTCCCCCACCCTCTCTCTCTCTCTCTTTTTTCCCTTCCACCTCAGCCCTCCCCTAACTCCAGCAGGAGACCAGCTAATTAGGACAAATTACAGCAGGTGGTAACTTGACTTTTTTTTTTTTTAAAAAACTTCATAATCCACCAGGGACTAAGAAGCTTTAAAGCAATTTCTCATTTAATCTTCAGACCCGAGACTGAATTTTATGGCAATCAAAAAACAGATTTGATGATTCATTTTCTTCATACTTTTCAAGGTTTAATATCTTTCTCAAAAGGGATCAACATATTCTAAAGATAATTAAGCACCATCTTTACAAAGCAGTTGCAGGTTTCTAATAACCTCCCCCTCATTCTGCTTTTCAGTGCCCTCCAAGCGTACAAGTAAGGTGAGAAATGACTTTTCCATTTTCTGAGGATGAAATTCCATATGCCAAAGCTTTATATACTTTGGCTTAGATATTTAAACAGTCTCTTCTCTGAAGGATTCAATGAACTTGCAGTGACAGCTAGAAAGGTTTCAAAACAATTTTCTTCATTGCATACAGAGAACTGAAAATCATGGCTATTCCTCTTTGCTGCCTCCAGTTTCTCTCTACCATTCATTGAACCTACAGATTGGTCCCAAAGGCCTACCCGAAACAATTCCAGATGGCTATTTGAGAATGTGGGGGTGGGAGGGAAATCTATGCAGTGACTCGCAACCTTTATGTAGCTGAAGAGAAGGAATTGAAATGTTGCTAAAGCAACAATTCCTTGATTCTACATCCTGAGATTTTTGATTCAGGGTTTTGGGTGTGTGACATGACCCTACAAACTCCCAAGTGATGATGATGCTGTTGATCAAACAATACTTTCCATATTTCTAGAAAGCCTGGGGAAGGGAGACATAATCAATAGCAAGTGCTACAATAGGTGTTAATTTGTAGGATGGACAGTTCACCTATGAGAGTTCTATAAGAGTGGCCTATCTAGCTAACATCCCAACATTCTCAAATGTATCCCAAATTAGATGTTAAATAATAACAGTAGATGTCATCATTATCTCATCTAGTTTTATAAATTCTCTCAAGGCAGGGATTACTGTACCATTTTGCAAAAGAGAAACTGAAACTCTTAACAGATTATTTTTCTAATATGAGGTAACATAGCCTGGAAGCCAGGTATATTTTGCTCTAAATTTTTAACCTAATGTTAGTACTGTGAATCTACCCAACTTCATCTTCTCTTCAGAGTAAGATGAAGAAAGCTGGAGCATCATACTCACAGACTTCTTACCACTACTTAGGGAACCCTAACTTGGCAGTTATAGAAAAAAAGTTAAGAGGGGCCTCCCTGGTGGTGCAAGGGGTTAAAGTGCAGCACTGTGAAGCTATCAGCAGCCACTACAACACAAATTTGCTAACCAGCCAGGGAGCTGACCCACCTGGCGTAGCAGACCTCTTCCAGCAATGCTCCCCTCAGCAGTATATTTCAGTAGATCTACATATTCTGCTCCTACCTCTGTCTCTGGTGAACCCTCTCACCTCTGGCTTATACCCCAGTGTTTATATGCAAAAAATAAATGAATAATTTTTTTAAAATGTTAAGAAAGGCCAGTGTCAGGAGAGGAAAGGAACTAAATCAACAGAGTAGATGCCACAAACTGTTCAAATGTTTCAGAAATAACTGATTTGAAGATTTCAAATGACAAGACACATCAAGAATGTAGTTCTGTAGATTCTGATCTCTCCTGTACATCATACAAAGAAAATGAGAGTATTTCTGTTCCCAAATGACATAAAAATCATCTAGCTAATGATGTGCCGTATCAACACCCTTGACGAATATGAATAATCAAACAGAAACAATAACTATAGTTCACTTGATCTTCATGTACACGTTCAAGAGTGGATCAGTAGTAGGGGTAGGTAGATCAATCTTGGGGTAGTGTGTGAATAGATAGGCCCTAGCATTTGAAAAAGTCCCCAGTTAATTCTGATTTGGTTCTTATGTCATCAAATCCTATTATCCTTTGAGAGTCACAAAGTCAATTCCTGAATCTTAATCTAAAAAGAATTTAAGCGTTTTTCCCAAAAGAAAATGTCTCCCTACTCTCAAGGCAGGATAGCATTCGACCTCCAGTGTGTGTCTGGATAAGTTTTTCTGCAAGATCTACAGAATGAAGAATTCCAGAGGTGTAATAAGATCAAGAAGTCTCAAATGGACACTATGTCCTCCCTTTGGTCCTCCTTTTCTCTGTGGTGTTCACAGGGATTTTAAGTCAGCACACCTGTTCACGAATTCTGACAATAAAAAGATACTCAAGAAACAGAGAAGCAGATATGAGAATTGATCCTCAAAATTACTAAACTATATACCCCAAACACTTTTAGCCACTAACCAAAGAACCAAGTGCTATTTTACGGAGGTATTTCTGAAAAACTAAATCATTTCTGACAGACATTCTATCTTCTTCTCTTTCCACTTCTGCAGGGACATGAACTATCTACGGTTCTCTACTATGATCAATGACAAAGACCAACCTTGGTGGGTCATGCTAACAAATAAGGCACACTTCTGTGAAATGTAAAGCAAATCTTCCTGAATATTGTAAACCAAACAAACCAAAGCCCCCATCAATTCAGATATTCAAATATCCTACCTTGGGGAACGTAAAGGTGCATTTGAGTTTCCGGGGTACTCTCTCATGGGCCATTTCAGTCCATTCAGCAAGCATATCATCACGGTAAGCCAGGGAGACATCCATGGAAACTTCCGCATTTTCTCCTGCAAGAGAAAAGATGCACTCTTAGTTCAGAAATGATTGCTGGGAAGACACACTGGAAACAATTAAAATTTTTTATAAGTTCTTCTGTGGAAGCCAGCAAGATAAAAGAAATGTCCCATCCAAGTCCAAACCTGAAGATATAAAAGTCATGGGAGGAAGATTTAAGCTGAAGATGTGTGCCCTCCCATAACCACTCTACTGAGGTGTCAGAGCTTTGACAAACTCCTCGAGAGGTGTGACCCTCTCTTTCCCCAATGCAGCTCATGTGGTCAGCTTCCGAATGATGACCAGCACTCAGCACCCTCACACTATGAGCCACTGGTCCTACATCTGCCAGCAGGAGTCACATGGAACACGGGAGACCTTTTCCACCAAAGCATCATAGATACTTGAAATCCATACTTTATCTTTGTGTTTCTTTTCTCTCTGAGAAATAGGACCAGGGTTTTCAAACACCACTCTGAGACGTGATATAAGTACTTTTGCTCTCTTCTGGACACACTCTGGTCTGAAACATCCTTTTTAAAATTACCCCAAGTACATCTCTAATATAGGATCTGCTATTCTCTAAAACTCAAACACTTCATATTGTGAACAGTGTTAATGAAAAGGTGAAGATATTTTTCCCCCATAATTAAACACTTAATAGAAACAGGAATATAATAATGAACATATAATTGTACAGATGAATGTTCACACATACTTCCATATCAGTAACATCCATGACTGGATTTAATTCAACACAGAACTCATTAAGGAGATTAGATCATTAAAAATTGCATCTATCCATTTTGTCTGTTTTATGTTATGCTGAGCAAGTTTAAGAACAGAGGAGACTTAATGGGTCAGGGAGTAGGAATACAGCTCCTATTTCCAATATGATTGGAGAGTCAGCTCCTCTCAGTTATGAGACTAGACTCAGTTTTAGGCTCTGAACCTGAACACACACAGGACATAAAGAGAACAGACTAGAATAAGTGCTGCATGGAAAATTAGGGCTTTTCTCTCCACTGGTCCCAGTGTGGTTTAAAGTCAGTTTGATAGAGTGGTAAATCTCTTGTTCTCTGAGGAAATCCAGGAAAAAAAGATGAAGCATAAAAGAAGGGATGTGAGGCCATTCTGAAGTAGATGAAACTCTCACTGAACATAAGCACCTGCCATACTATTATTATTGCTTAAATCCCCAGGTAGACACCTATGTTTTCCTCCTCTTTATCCTTATATGCGAGGGAAAGAGAGAATATTAAAGAATATTAAGTCACTACCAGTGATTTCAACAATTTTCTTACAGATGAAAAACAGATGAAGTAGGATTTCCTGACAGCCAAGGAGATGAGAACAGGCTAAACTTCACAGAAGGGGTAGTCTGAAAATGTAAGCCAACTTGTTCAATAGATCCCTGAGTCACTCAGAATTTGAACACACTAGAAATTGCAATAAACAGAGGTGAGATATTGTGCTAACAGCAGGGTAACTGGGTTCAAGTCTGTACACAGAATCATTGGACATTCAGTTCTCTACACTTTTCCTCCTTGCCCAGTCTGAGAGGACAGTCTGGGCTTGAGAACACCAAGCAGTCTAGAGACCCAGAGCTGAATTGGGGAAGAGAAAGAATGTTTATTAGAAACTGTGGAATGCTCAACTTGGCAGAAGCAATGCTCAGATTTGCATATCCTCTTGGTCAGGAGCCAGGCTGGCTACAGCTGCTCTTCACTTTAACTGCCCCAGTAGTCAACAGAAGTGGTCAGATCTCTTATACCAGGTATGAAAGTCCATTCTTTTCATTTCTAATACTGGGACTAGGAAATGGGACTTTCAACTATCTTGAAAGGGGACTGCAGATTCATAAGACTTAAGAGTACAAATCTGAAAAGTTGTGTAAGTGATTAATTCACATATTGTATTCTTTGGAGCATTAGAGTTTGGAGAAACTCTGCCCTTACATATAGACAAAAGGGGCTCTTAACCTGGGCCCCACTTTTTAAAGGGCCCCACTTTGTCCTCTTTTAGCTCTTCCCTCCTCACAGGACAGGAGCACCATAAAGAAAGAGGATGTGCCCATCCAGAGTCTAACGTCTCCCCAAAGTTCTAGAATATGCTCTTGATTACCCTATACCCATACAACTCATTGCCTACTTACATGATGCAGAAAGGCTCTCCCCCAGGTACATCCCCTAAAGGGAACTTTATCTATGCACCTTGGGCTCAGGGGGTGATCAAAAGGATGCTGTTTGTAGAAAGATACTAACAGAGATTTAACTGAAGGTTGGGCATCCACACACAGAGACACACAAGGCCCCTCCTTGCATGTGATATAGCCCAGGGTGGAAAGAATAGGCAGCTTAAATCCCACACTTCTTGGTTAGTAACATTTTGGCATTGAATTCTAAGGCGTCCAAGAATACCAAGGTCAAACCTGCCATTTCAGTTCATTACAGAGTAAAATTTGTTAAAACAGAATGATAGGACTTATCTGGTCTAATCATTTGCTAGCCTGATTTATTACTTTAAATTTTAAATATACAGTATCTGTGCCTTTATTGGAGTTCTTATGTGGGCCTTGTTTGGACCAGATGCCATAGGGAGAGAAAAGGGCCAGACTAGAGTTTTGCCTCTAGTCTGCTTCCAGCTTAAAATGCTAGTCCCATCTGTTGGGAATCCCCAGAGAAAAAAAACTGTTCATGCTGTTAAAAACAAGCAAAAATGTTAACACTGTTTTCATGTATGATTACTCTGTATTAACCCTTTGTGATTTCCATTTTTTTTTTTTTTAAGATTTATTTATTCATACAGAACTGAGGTACAGGCCAGAGATGCGGAGGGTGAGAGGATCCACCAGGGCCAGAGAGTGGGGAGCAGAACAGGCAGATTGTCGAAGTACACTGCTGAGGGGAGCAGCAGGCGGGCCAGGAGAGGTCTGCCACGCCATGTGGATCGCCTCTGGCACAGGTGGGGATCGAACTCATGCGGAAGTGGCTTTAGCTTCTCAGTGCAGTGCTTTAACCCGCTGCGCCAGCAGGGAGGGCCTGTGATTTCCATGTTTTAATTTAAATTACCTCATTTAATTTTCCCAAAACTCTATGAAGTGGGCATAGATATTTCCTGCTGATTATGAATGAACTGAGGTCTTCAGATACTAGGCAACCTGCTTAAAGACATTGCTGTTGGTAGCACAAGGAAGACAGCTATTTTGATTTGTCTTAAAACAGTTTTTTTTTTGTATTGCTTAATAGAAACTGGCTAACTTGTGATGAGAGAAATCCTTCAAACTAGTCACAAAATATATGTTAAGTTTTTAATAAAAATAAAGGCTCTCTGTAAACATTCTCTCTGTTTTCCCATCAGTCTTCATACCCATCCTATGAAGAAGAAATTGTATAAATTGCCCAAGAATACATAAGTAATAAATGTCAGGGCTAGGATTTCAGCCTTGTTTGGATCACCCACAATCCAAATACCCGCAACTATTGCTATAAAGCATTAGGAAAAAAACAAACTGAACAGTTCAATCAGGTCACTCATTTCTGAGCAAACATCATCTGTTGCTTTCTAAAGGAGAGAAATATGCATACGTGCAGGGAGACTGCAAGCACAGTTCATAGGTGTATGGGATTTTTTAATCTGAGTCAAAGGGAGGAAAGGCTGAAGCCAACACAGCATTATTTCAGAAACTTAGTAGAAATGCATGATGTGATCCAAACAGTACAAAGCTGAAAGCTGGAGTCACTGGGGTTCATGGGTCTGCTCCTAACTATATGTGTGGTCAGGGCCAGGCAGGGTTGGAACTGGGGAATAGTCTGTATACTGAAGGCAGCTGCTTTAGCTCCAGCCTGACACATTATCATGAGGCAATGCAGGTCAGTTCGACCATACTTTCCCATTCCCATTCAGATTGGTATGAAGCATCTCTCAATCTTTACATGGCAGTAAATAATTTACTAAAAAACAACAAAGAAAACTACATAATCTCTGAACAGGCCCACTAATAAAGACCTGTGCCACTCTGTTGAGGGGATACTTTCATACTGGCTGCCCCACCATCATTCTTTCTAATTGACCAACAAAGAAGCTTTTAAAAAAAAAAGATTTATTTATGTATGCATACAGAAGTGGGGTGCAAGCCAGAGGTGCAGGGGCAGTAAGAGGGTTCACCAGAGACAGAGTAGGGAGCAGAACAGGAGGACTGATGAAGTACACTGCTGAGGGGAGCAGCAGG